CCGTTGACATCTACATTTACAACACGCCGTTAACTCCGCCTGCCATGATGCGGCCCAGCTGGTCTGGGCTGAAAGGATGCGTTGAGGTCTTGGGCTTGGGGCGCATATCCTGCACTCTCTTAGACATGAAATTTAAGTTGCGTCAAGTTTAATTGCAACGGATGTTGGGCGTGTAAATTATTTTGTTTTGGCTGCCTCATTTTCTCTGCTAATGAGCAACTTATTAAAACTTTTGGCCCCGCCAGCTCTGCAGGCCAATTTGAATGCCGGACCCATGGCAAGTGCCACGAATTCCGAGAGGGCGTGGAGAAGCGCGTGAGGCGCATAAATAAATACGAATAGCAATGCCAATTGAAAACAAAGCCAAAGATAAGTTTACAGCCAGCCGAAACTCATTTACAGTTTCTGAGCTAGCACCAAACAAAAAAAAATAAATTGGCAAATGGAAAATGGAAAATGGGAACGAGCTAGAGAAAGAAAACTTCAATTTCTTCCGCACTTCAAGGCAAAGCACTCGAAACACGTAAGAAAGGGGAAAAACCTGAAAGTCAAGTTACTAAAGGCTCCAATGAAATACAAAAAAAAAATCGCAACAAAGGACTGCAAAAAGGCGACGGCAATGCTCGAACTGCCGTTACCCTGTACTGAATAAGGAAAAAGAACACAACAAAAAGTTAAGATTTAATTCATTTCTTGTGTGAATATAATATTCCCCCAAAGGAAATTGTTAGCATTTCTCATTAGTAAGCAATGCCGGAAGATTACAGGGTATGCTAACCCAATTGCCTGAAATGATTTGTAGTGGGAAAGAGGAAGTGGTTGGCGAGCTCTTGGTGCTGCGGATGCGGGATGTCTGTTGGCAAGTGTTTTTGTATGCGCCAGCCTGTACCTCAAGTGCTTAGACAATCGTGTTGAAGCTTTGATTTTCGAGCTTACTCCGGATTTGGCTGTGCACTGTAGCATACTTATGAGGGCGGGTAATTAACTTCGAGTGCCCAAAACACCCACACACACACACACACATATAGTGGGAAATTTTGGACTAAGTAATAGTCGAACTGACAAACTGAGTGACTGTTAAAGTGTTGAAATGTCTGCGGCAGCCGTTAATTAATTAATGTCAGCGACCGTTGAACGAAATGAGAAAAGTTTTCCACTGCTGCAAAACTTGGCAGTTACTTAAGTAGTTGTTAAGTCAGAGCCAAGGCGTTCAATATTTGTCAATGAACTCATTAAGCAAATTAATAGACAAAGTTGCCAGCTGAGCACTGACATTGCAAGTGCTGGCGCCTTGGGGGTGCGGCTTGGGCGGAGGGCATAGCAATTTATTTACCCGCTGCTGTGTGGCAATAAAATGGCACGCAATAAAAACCAAAGTCAACAAACAATTGCGCGCCACGCAGAAATCGATTATGGACGCCTCAAGGAAGCATAGCTGCTGCTCGGTGTGCAACCACAGGCAGCAGCACCACCCAATGCCACAATCACAACCACAAGCCACGTTTTCGATTTTGCCATTGCCAGGCGACTTGGCCACCTGATGCCCCGGCGCTGAAATTGCCAACGCTGCAGTTTGGAAACCTAAAGCGGAAGTGATTTTCCTCCGGCATGCACGTGTCTGTGTAAATGTTGCACACAGCATGTGTTAGTGTCTGTGTCCGTGTGTGTGTGTGTGTGTGGGTGTGAGGATTTTATGACCCTTGATAGTGGCAAGCGATTTGTTGCGTTGCATTTTCAATTTCGCAGCATGCACTTTGGCAACTTTGAATAATGCAATGGCAGGGCACCAACTGCAACGCGTACATGACCCGAACTCCAACCCCGCACACAACCTTCCCAACAAACCCCCCTTTCCTCATCCTCTTCACCATGAATCCTTAACCAGCTTTGACTGCGCATTTTGGCAGCTTATTAAGGCGCTGCCCTGCTGCTGCCACCTACTTTTATTTATTTTTTTCCCCTTTTTTGATAATTTTCAAACACGAGCGCACAATTCGAGCGCAGCGACATTTGGCATGTGGGGCAAGTTGACATATATGCAGCACGTGCGTGACTATATGCTACCCACTGTGTGTGTGTGTGTGTGTGTGTGTGTGTGTGTGTGTGTGTGTGTGTGTGTGTGTGTGTGTGTCTTTATGTGAGTTCCCAATCTGTGGCTCACGATTGATGTCCGAGACACACACATACATACAACTGCAATCACATGCAGCTCGTTATTGGCCTGCGACTGCGGTTGTGCTTTGCACTTTAATACAATATGCGAACAACAATTGCAACAATAATGCACCTGATTTGACCTGATCACCAACATATTGTGGCCACTAATTAATTGGCAGCTAATTACCCCATCTTTAGCAAAGGCTGATGATTTAACCAACTCTCAAAATGCAGCAAGTGAGGTGTATTGCAGAAATCTTTAGCGCAAAATAATTTAAAAAGTTTTAATTTGCGTAAGTTACGATTAATTTACAATTTTATTCTAACTTAGCATATATTATTTTAAAATTGACGAATCAATTAAATATCGTCTTCGTTGGAAAAGTATAAACTTAACACTAAACCACCCAAGCGACATACTCTAACTACAATTTGAACTATATCCATTCTGAACCAATTTGGAAGCGTTTGTTGTTGAATGCAAGCCTGAACACTTCCTTGATACATCCAGAACAATTTTACCCAATTATCATGTCATATTTGGGATGACGTGGTAGATAGTTAATGGCTCACATTGGACCTTATTAATTTCGTAAATTGCCAAATTTAATTTGTAAATGCCAAATTAATTTATTTGAGAACCCAATCGAAAATTAAATTTTCTCTTCTGAACAATTTTCAACACAGTCCGTTTAACAGTCCGTAGACCCAAATCGGTCAGGGTTTAGAGTGGCAAACTCTTATATCTTTCGTCAAAACAATTTCGATCCACTGCTCACAGGTTTAAGCTTTCATTCAGCAAGCAGATTTAAAATATTATCTGCCATCGAGCTCAATTTTAAACAACTTTTCAACCACTTTCAAATCCGGCCTTCACTTTTTGAATAGCTCTTTCAATGACTACGCCTGAATTAAATCACGCATACCTTCCAATCTGCTTGAAAGCCGTGCTTAATAGCTTTTCAAATAACTTTCAAACAGGATCAGAGTGCATCAAACGACCCCTTCAGCTATTTACAATAATTATGTATTAATGGATATTTGCAGCCGGATTCTTTACATGCGCTGCAGCCGTGATTTTTTTTTTGTTTTTAAATTATTCTCTTAGCTGCGGCCACTCGAAAATCGTTTAATTTTCATTAATAGTCAAGTGGGTTTTCATTCGGGATTAATGTGCCATGGCCACGGCAACTGAATTCGCATTGTTTTTGCGCCGTCTGCTAGTTAAATGCGTTAAGAGCAAAAATATATAGATATAAAAAAGGAAGGAATTATGTATGCATTTTTAAGCATTGTCTGCGGCGCATTTATTTTAAACAATTTACCTGCACGGTTGCCTTTTGTGCCGCACTCAAGAACAACAAAAAATAAGCTGAATAACCACATAAGCATTTTATTTTAAAGTCAGAAACTTAACGCGTGGCAGTTTCCGGGAACCTGGAGCAGGCAGCCTGCAGCTGCAGCCACTTCAATTTCAAAAGCAGCTGCTTCTGCTGCTGCTGCTACTGCTACTACTGCCACTTCTGCTGCGGTGGCCATTGCCACTGGCCACTGCCTGTTGGCCGTTGGGGGCATCAGCAGCCACAGCAGCTTTGGCAGCCGCCTGCAGCTCAAGTTTTCATTTCTCTTTTACGCTTTGCTGCTTTATTTCAATTCCGTTGATAAAAAAAAAAACACAAAAAAAAAAATGTTCTTTTGAATTCCAGAGATTTTTATCTTCTCTTCCCTGTTCGCTTTTAAAATGCTGACTGTCGCTCCATTGTGCGTTTAATTCAGTGTTTGATTAGCGTCGTCTATGCAGCTGCAGCGGCTTGTTAAGCATACGCCCGGTTGTACGCGCTGTTAAGCAAACATACATGAATTAATAATAAAATTCTTGCAGCGGCCGCATCAACCGCATGCAAAATCGCTGCCAGTTCATGATAAACTAACTAACACATATTATTTATGAGCTGCCGTTGATAAAGCCGCCATGTACGGCATGTGGCATGTGCCACATGCCAGCAACCACAGCAACAATAACACAAGAACATTTGCGGTCGCTGCAGTGTTCAAATAATATTTGAAATAAAAATACAATTCGCACCGAACACTGAAAATCGATTAAATTGCATTTAAATTAACTTTGCGTCGCTTCCCAACAGTTACATATTATAAAATATATGAAATACACTATAATTAATATGTTATTAGAGTACATTTTCCATATATATAAAACGAAATTATTTATATTTTTTTTTAAATAAAAATTCTGCATATGACGTTCAAATTAAAATGTTGACAGCCGATAATATATCGGAAAATATTCCAGTAGGAAGACCCAAGAGATTTTTAACAATTTTAAGACATGAAGAAATATTTAAGTTAATAGTAAGATTATGTTTATAAAATATTAAAAAAATTATTTTTATTTTTTCTATTATCCATGTAATGTTCTTCGTATAAAAACACTCAATTGACAAGCTTATTCATACTATTTCGAAAAATTACCATATTCATATAGCAATAAAAATGTCAGAAACAAACTTATACATTTTGTTCAAACAATTAATTAATTAGCAACACTTGAAAGAGCATCCCTTTACAAGTATATTTATATGTACATAGTATATTCCATTGCAATTTACTAATGAGTGGCACTTAGGAGCGCATATAAATTTCGTTTAGTTAGGGCTTAAACAATGACTAACTAGTCGCTGGTGGAAATGCAAATGTGAAGCAGTTTGCACTTTTTAATTACGATTTTCAATTAAAGTGCGACAGCAGCGACACACAAAACCAATTTGCAATTGGCGCTGGCTAAAATCTCACCCGATTTCTCTTTGCTTTGCATTCACACACAGATATTGCTGTATCCGGAGGAGGGCTGGGCGCGCACCGCCTCCTCCAGCTACTGGACCATCACGCCCTGCTGGTGGCAGCCGAATCGTTGTCGCATTGTCGAATGCGCTGGCACGCAACGGCAGGCGACCAAGGCCAGGATGTTGCCCATGGAGCAGCAGGGCTCGCTGCTGATTGCCGGACACTTTCGCAGGCCGTCAATAACAGCGACAGGCGGTGCTGCAACAGCGCCAACAACAGCAGCAACAACGGCTGCAACAACAACGGGTGGTGGAACAACATCAGCAGGCGGGGCTGCTGCTGGCGCAAATGGCAGGGCGCAGTCAAAGTCCAAATCACAGCTGGCATACAATGATGAGTTTAAACTGTATCTGACATCAAACATATCGATGGAGGACTACAACATGGGCTACTGTCTAACTGGCTTCGTCGAGCGTCGCTGCCAGCTGACAAACACCTTTCAAATGACGCACTTCGCAGTTATTAAGCGGCAATGGCCGCCGCCGTCCAATCTCAGCAGCAGCAGCACATAGGCAGCACCCCGTGATCCCTCTGTGCTTCTAGCCACGCACTCTTAGTACGAACTACCGATTGTCAGCTGAGTATTCTGTATTCTCTAAGCCTAGCTATTAAGTAGTGCAATTTGCAATGCAGTGGCCCACGTGATAGCAGCAGCAAATTAAAAGGCCAACACAAAAAGTGTAGCATACTTTTCAGCGGCCCTTAAATAAATATCGAAATTGTTGAAACTGCAAACGCTGGGCAATTTTTTGCCATTTTTTATTTTTGTTAAACAAATTTCTATGTGTGTATTAGTGCGTAATTTGTAATTTTAACTAAATGCTCTAAACGTGCTTAATTCGTGTGCTTTCGATGTTGTATAAACAACGAAAAAAGAAAAAACAAAACTTTTTAAAAAAATAAGCAGAGTAAGAATAATAAAAAAATATTAAGGTACAACAAACTTCGGATTGCCGAATACTTGATACCCTTGCATAAAGATATTTAAATGCTGACCTTTTTTTAATATTATAAATTGGTTGTAAATTTTGATTTATTTGTTTTATATTATACACACTAATTCTGATCGAGTTTGTGTTCTGATTTGACTCATATTTTATTAAATCAATCCAGAAATTGAGTTTAAACAATATATTATTATATGAAAGATTAAATAATACATTAATACAAGAAAATTTTCCCAAGATAGACTTGATTATGATTTACATACATATAGTAAGATCCGAATTGGATCTTCATCAAACCTACATTCACGATGTTTAATGTATCAAAAATGCCTTCAAAATTTCTTCAAGATATAGTATATAAAATATGTATATATCGGGTTTATTGCTGTCTGTTTTTTCTCACGTTATATAATTCATGACAAAATCGAAAATACCTTTGCAAGGGTATAAAAATCCGAAAACAAATAACTGCGAAATACAAAAACTAGAAGCTGTTAAAAGCTAAAATGCAACTAAACCGCTTTGCCGGCCATTGCACACGCGCAAATATACACACATTTACACACACACACAAACACACACGCACAGCACACATATTGCATTTAAGTCAGGGCGCTTGGGCAGCTACTTAATGCTTAAAAAGTGCAACAAATTGAAACTTGTGCTTGTCGAAGCATGTGATTCTGTGCCAAGTATCGTGTGTATGTGTGTGTGTGTGTGTGGGTGTGTATTTGTGCGTGTATAAGTGTGTAGGTATTTGCTGTGCGAGCTTGGCCGTTCTGCAGGTACTTAAACAGTCATGTTGCAATCGTACTGCCTTTAAGCTTAAAATATGCGCAGCTCAACAAACAAATTTTGCTGATGTTTTTATTAACGTGCATCAAGGTGCATCAGCATCAATTAATACTGGCATCACATGGCATTAAAGCCAAATTGTGACAGCAGCTTGTTTTTTACAGTTTTTATATGTTAAAGTTATTCAAATTTTTTGTGGTAATTTAATCTATATTTATTTTTAAATATATTTTTACATTTATTTTTTATTTGTGTAACCTTTTCAATATGATTTTAGCATATTTATTTATTAGTTTTATTTATTATATGTTTAAGTGTAATATTTTTGTTTATTACTTTTCAAATTATTTATATAAAATTTATATAAAATAAAGTATACTCTCTTACAGAGAATATACTAAAATCTTTTTTAAAGTCTCTACTTATTTTTACTTGAGATTTTCTAATTTGGATATTGTTCCATTCCGTTTTCATGAAGAAGCTTATTAGCTGCTGTGTTCTATTCAACGCTACGCTCTAATCTAAAACTAGACAAACCTTTTAAACTCCACACTCACACACACTCACACTCTCTCTATCTCTCACTTTTTGAGCATAAACCGCAACGTATATCAACAATTCGTCCAATAATTGGAGTCTTTCGGCGCAACAAATGGCTACCACGCTAAACAAGGCCGAAGCTCCAATTGCCAAAACCCTAAGTGTTAAAAAAAAATGATAAAAAACCAAAAAACTTAAACCAAAGCTACTTAAGACAAAAACTACAGCTAGGCTAAGCGCTAGATGTTAATAAGCAAATCAAAGCAAAAGGAAAACAGAAAAATAAAAACATACCAAATCAATATTTACAAGCTAGTATTATATTATAAAAACTATGAACTATAAATTTAATATACTATTTATGTGTGTGTGTAGGCTTGAAGTGAACTCAAAGTTTTTGCCATACTTGTATCGGTGTATTTATAAACATATACATATATGCATATAAACTATATTCAACTATGTATACAAAACTAAACCAAAATCAATCACTAACATTTTTTGCAGTAGTGCATAGCTCGCTTTTAGGCGCTTTTACACGCAGGCGAAAACAAAACATGCCAAAAAAAAAAAAATAAAAATAAACAAAACTGAAGAAAAAAAATAAAAACATATTTATACATATATTTTACAAGGTCTATAATAAATGTAAACTTGATTTGCTCTCACCCACAGCCTGCTCCCCGTAATTGATATTTAAGTATCAGGTACCTGCCAAATAAAAAGTAAAAAAATTAAATAAATAAATATTAATAAATGTAAAACGAAATGCCGCAACAACAAACACAAATATTTGAGCAGTTCCAAAGTCCAAATCGCAAGTCCAATGGCATTTTTCATTAGGCAACACACATACAACTAATTATTTTTTTAAATAAACAATTAAAAAGTTTTCTATGTATACAAATCCCATGGTAAATCCAACAAACACACACACACACACACACATGCGCGTATTGATGTTGTTGTTTTTCTGTGTCTAGATGAATGTGTCTATGTGTGTAGCATATTTATCTGCGATTAGCTTAGGGTTAAACTTCAAATTAAAATGAAAATCATGAAAAACAAAAAAAATAACAATAAAAATAAAAAACATGCAAGCCGAACACGCAATGAGCTTTTTTTGTAGCCAAATGGTAAACAGTAATTATAAATAAATTACTAATTAAATTTATAAGCGGCGCCGCAAACAAAAACAACATAAAACAAATAAAATCAGATAAAACAAAGCACAGCAATTATGCCAGCTATATGAGCCAGGTAAGGGGCTTACAATTAAAATTAATTCATTAAATTAAGCTTGTATTTAAATAATTACGTAAATGCGAAAGTTTGTACAATTAAGCGGAATTGTGTCATGCATTTGGCTAAGATCAAAATTTAATGCAAACATAAATTTCAAATCAATGCAACACCGATGATGGCTGAACTTAAACCATAAATCAAATTTGACAACAATAAACAACAAAATGCAAAAATCAAATAAATGCAAACAAATATTTCATAATAATAAGAAGAAAACTTGTCTGGATAAGCAAGACGAGTAATTGTGGCTCGGTGCAAACGTAGAAAATGCAAGGAATGTAAGAATTGTAAGAGAACAAAAGAGAATTCAAAGCATAGAAAATAAAGCAACAGAAAAACTGATAAAATTGTGGTTTTACTTGACGAGGGCCATTTTTCAGAGCAGGCACAAAATGATTTAAAAATATGTGTAAAACCATTTGAGAATTATAGGGCTTGCAGGAAATTCCTTAAGCAGGCATGAAATGATCTAAAAATGAGGGTAAAACATGTTTAGAATTACAAGAGCTTGCAATTAATTTATTTTAGCAGACTCACTTGTAAAAAATTCGTTTAACTATGCCTTGTGTAACTTATTAATAAAATGGCCATCTATAAAACCCGTATAGCTCCTGTCTGGCGTTATGGAACCCAAGTGTACAGGATTGCTGCCAGGTCCCGTCTTTTAATCAAAGATGTTCCCTTAACAACAGTAAAACAAGTGTTACTTATTAAATATATTTGATGTTGGATTTTGACAATGAAAACTTAAAAAAAAAAACATTATTTATTGATTTCCGTTCGGTCAGTAATGTATATTTAAAAATTTATAATTATTTTGGTTTAATACCTTTAAATATTTAATATAGTCGTGTGCTATTTCCATTTACACATTTTATCTACCATGCAATTCTGATGAATGCTTCCATTCTTTTATTATTTCTTTGTAATTCGATAGAACCTGCAAAATGTTCACAGATTTCGATATGCATATTAATTAAATTGATTTCATTTGGCAACAGCATATTTACTTTTTCTTCTTTTGCACGATGCACGATGCGTTTTCGTATTTTTTTTTGTTTTTTTGTTTGATTCTACAATCTCTTTCTTTTCAAGCACATGCACAAAGTGAAAGCCATACCAAAGCCAGTTAAAAAACGTTCGGATTTCAATTACAATTTCTATGGCTGCAGCGCTTTTCATAATTATATCTCCGATCGGGAAAACTCGCAATTGCAATTGCCATGGCTGTCGCCGTTGTGCTGCTTCTTTTTGTTTGCCCTGCGCGTGTGTGAAGTTGTTTTTTATTTTGGTTTGATTTATTTGTTTCACTTTTTTGCGCAATTAAATTTATATTTACATGCGATATTCGTGCACGATGTGTCCGACTAGATATATGGCACAATTTGAATTTCACTATTTTTTTATGAACGTTTTTTATTCATTTGGTTTTGTATTATTTTTTGTTTGTTTGCATACCCTCCCGCAAACCGTTTGCCTCTTTCAGAGACACGCTGCAAATTTAAGGGTTGCGCCCGGGGACAACGCAATTTCAATTTATTCTCGCTTCAACTTGAAAAAATATATATTTGATTTTTATTTTTATGATTTTATGTGATGAGCTTTGCAAACGATTTGCGCGTCAATTTTTTATACAACATGCGAAATGCATCAAAGTACATAAAAGATTTTCGCATTGATTTGATTTTGTTCTATGCAGCGGAATTAAGCAATAATAACTAGCCTTGTAAACGATACACAAAAAAAAAATTAAAATCATGCTATTCATTATGTTCTTTGAAATGAAAGTTATGTTAGCACTATTTATTCATCAAACTGACATTGATTTTAAAAGATATGTAAATGATTGACTAAATGACTAATACGAGGGAGGGTATATAAAAATAAAAGGCTCAACAGTAATCAGAAAATAAAGAACAGTGCCT